CACGCACACACACACACACACACACACACACACACCACACACACACACACACACACACACACACACACACACACACACACACACACAGGCTATGTGTGTGTGTGTAACTTCCTCACAGTTACGAGGAAAGGCTGCGGGAAATGCACCTTACGACACTGGAAGACACAAGAGTAAGGGGGAGACATGATCACAACCTACAAAATCCTCAGGGGAACCGAAAGGGTAAACAAGGATAAACTATTCAACACTGGTGATATGTGAGACCAAAACAGTAGCATGCAGTTGCCAATGTGTTTCATGCAACCACATGAAAAAAATATATATATACAATAATATATATAATGTTTAGAAGACTGTAAAGACATAGATTCAAGTTTTAACAGTTTCTAAGTCACGTGGAATGGCCATAGGTTCTCGACATATATAAATTGTAAGGCAGACAGAATGTGTGAATCTGTTAAACCATACAACTTAGAAATATTTATAAGGTCATACGAGGCAGCTTCTATTTATATCCACCGAAACCCATTCATATATATATGTCTAACCTACTCTTGAAACACTCAAAAGTGTTCTCACATCCACTCTATTACCCGGTAATCTGTTCCATAAATCAGCAACCCTATTTCCAAGCCAGTATTGACCCAGGGCTCTCCTGAATCTCAACGTCCCCAATCGTGTTGTTACAATTATATACTGGATGACATAGCAGATGTGAGACATCAACCTCACTGGAGTGGAAACCTCTCCTTAGTGCCTGGCCGGATATAAACGCTGTTTATCCCGTAGTTACAACCAGGTTACAAGCGGTTACAAAGCCACGCTGAAACTAAGCCAAGGGCATCGTTACACAGGTCATTGTCAAGACAAAGGGCAAAACCCACCAAACACACACCGAAACTACGACGTTGGTACAACGTTCGAACAAGATTTAACACCTCCTAACCAGTTATAACAACCAATATAGCAAGTTGTAACAACGTTCTAATACGTCATAAACACGTTAAGCCAAGATGTAACAACTTTATTACAATTGTAACAACGTTCTAATACGTCATAAACACGTTAAGCCAAGATGTAACAACTTTATTACAAGTTGTAACAAGCGGGAAATAAGAGACAGTTTCGGTTTGTGTTTCCAGTAACATCACAAGTAATTGGCTCGTTCCCCTCGACACTTTAAGTGTGTGTGTTGTCTTCAAGTGTCTCCCAAGTGGAAGCTTGCAACACTCCAGGTGGTGGGGTGCATAATGCACTTCACACACAGCCTGCAACAGCCAGATGGAACAAGAAATCAAGACTCACGTCACTGTACTAGTTACAGGTTATCTTGAGGTTATCTTGAGATGATTTCGGGGCTTTTTAGTGTCCCCGCGGCCCGGTCCTCGACCAGGCCTCCACCCCCAGGAAGCAGCCCGTGACAGCTGACTAACACCCAGGTACCTATTTTACTGCTAGGTAACAGGGGGCATAGGGTGAAAGAAACTCTGCCCATTGTTTCTCGCCGGCGCCTGGGATCGAACCCAGGACCACAGGATCACAAGTCCAGCGTGCTGTCCGCTCGGCCGACCGGCTCCCTCCGGTCTGGTAAGAAGACTTTGGAATAAGTCTGAGCAGTAGTGTAGGAGTCATTGCAGCTGTTATAGGGACAAGACTTAACCATAAGTCTAACGATGGGTGATGGTAGTTGAGACTTAAAGGATTATCTAAGATGCTCAACCCAGCAAACAACATATCCTTGTAAAGTGTAAATTCTGGGATTAATAATGACGACAAAGAGGGTGATGCTTCTCTCCCACGCCCCCTTCCTTATCAACACCTCTTCCTCACACACCTGTAAGCACACTCTCCTCTTTTACACACACATACCTGAACCCCCTCTCCCCCCCCTTTCTCCTTAGCCTACCAAACATTTGCTTAAACAGGTGTTCTTTCCTCGCTGTTGTCTGTATTGCCTAGTCTCTTATCTGTCTTCTGTTTCAACTACACACGAAGTCGCGAGATATGAGACAGACTAAGAACTGGGATTTGCAACCCGTTTTCGCACTTTCGTATAGTCAATATTGACTTATTAAATAAGTGCATATGTGACATACTAATTTATTGTGAATATTTTAGTTTACCTTGAAAAGCTTCATAGAAAACACCGACCTTACCTAACCTTCTTAGTATCTTAATATGAACATCTTATTGCTTCGTAATTACAATTATTACTTAACCTATTATAGGTATAGGTTAAGTAATAATATGAGATATGATACGAGACAGACGGATATGAGACAGACTAAGAACTGGGATATGAGGACAGAGTGAAGGAACGATGACTATAACCCTTTGAACCATTGTGGATCGAACGCCGATCCACAATAGTCAAGGACACGTGTGTGTCACTCATTTCAAAGTTCGAACAACCGAACACTCCGATACCGAACAGAGACCATTCGATTAAATTGTATTCGAACGCTCGACTGGTAGTCGCATTCCCCTGCAGTCTAATTACCTGTTATCTCACTTAATTCTCGTCTCGTACAACCAGTAATTAGTCACACTAATTTGCCTAATCAACAAATTACTCCATTTACCACCCATCCAAAGCCACTCTCACCCACTATTCCCCCCTCTCCCACCCCCATCTCCTCTCCCCCCTCCTGCACCCACAGTAACCCAACAGAGCGACATATCATTCTTAACTACTAGTTAATGCAAGAGGAATGTAATATTAATATTAAATATGTGTGTTCTCACACATATTTAATATTACTCACCTGTGTTCTACTCACCTGTGTTCTACTCACCTGTGTTCTACTCACCTGTGTTCTTCACACCTGTTCTTCACCGAAAATCTACCTGGTAAACTAGCTACAAAAATCTATGGGCAAAAACAAATAAAAAAAATGTAGGAATTTTATTTGTTAAATGGACGAAAGATTGTCCCCTGCGAAGCCTTTTCTATTTATACCCCAAATAAATTCATATATATATGTCTAACCTTCGCTTGAAACAATCCAGGGCCTCAATGTCTATTATATTCACCGGTAATTGGTGCCGTAAATCAACCACCCTATTCCAAAACCATTATTTATCAAGATCATTAATGAATCTAAACTTATACAATGAATACCATCAATTGAAGATAGCAAGTCACGATAACGGGGCTGACAATTACACACCCGACCAACACGTCTGAAAATAGAGGAAGAGACGACTTGATAACGGTCTAGAACCTGATAACGGTCCAGAACGACCTGATAACGGTCCAGAACGACCTGATAACGATCCAGAACGCCCTGATAACGGTCCAGAACGACCTGATAACGGTCCAGAACGACCCGATAACGGTCCAGAACGACCGGATAACGGTCTAGAATGACTTGATAATGGTCCAGAACGACTGATAACGGACCAGAGCGACCTGATAACGATCCAGAACGACCTGATAACGGCCCAGAACGACCTGATAACGATCCAGAACGACCTGATAACGGTCCAGAACGACTTGATAACGATCCAGAACGACTTGATAACGATCCAGAACGACCTGATAACGGTCCAGAACGACCTGATAACGATCCAGAACCTGATAACGGTCCAGAACGACCTGATAACGGCCCAGAACGACCTGATAACGGCCCAGAACGACCTGATAACGGCCCAGAACGACCTGATAACGGCCCAGAACGACCTGATAACGGTCCAACACGACCTGATAACGGTCCAGAACGACCTGATAACGGACCTAAAGGTGGTTACCCCCATTACTTTCAGAGGTGTGTGTTGAGCGCCTTATGCATCCCCCTGTTGCACAGGATCTTCCAGTACTCTAGAGGCAATGATAGACATCTGCACACGACGGCTGTCTGTCTCCTGGATTACCCTGGAAGGCTGGAACAATAAGGCATAATCATGGAATTTCGACCCTTATCCACAAGCTTGTCGGTTATACTCTTAAAAGAGTGACATCTGGTGCAGTGAGATCTGCACTACTAAACTGCTTTCCATCAGTGGAGGTACATAGTTTCCTTTCTCACTTCTAATGTCTCGTTAATGATCTGAAATGATCGTTAACGAGAGGAAAGCCGCAGAGCGTGACGAATTAAGACGGAGGATTGAGTCGTCTATTCGAAACTCTCTGAGGAATGGAATTGTCATCTACACTTTCGTGGAAATAAACATTCCATTAACTTGGGCTCTGGGTGACTCGAACCATGGTCCCTATGTGTGTGTGAGGCCGAAGCTATAATCAAATCATCAGTGATGGAATCAGAGATTGTCTACTATGAATCCCATCCCATATTGGCCTCCGAATTAATGACAAACCTGACGATTTAGCTACATTAGTGTTCTGAATTGCAATCAAGGGTCCTTGATTGCCATCTTGGACTGCCTACGAACACCCTAAAGACAGCAAAATACCGGGAACAACCACAAAGTTTAGTAGCCCTGAGACAAAAGCTCAAACCTAGTTATTCCATCTATCATTTTCCTATTATACTGGAGCCACGAACCTATGGGTCATCCCATATAAGGTCAGTAGACCTCTAGAGGTTAGTACTGATAGGCTTAGGCTCGGCTACAAGCATCTCTGGGAGTATGCACCACCTGCTGAAGTAGGCCTGACTCAATGGAAATTCTGTCAGTCAAACTATTCAGATACTTTATTCAGTTCAATGTAACTGAACTGTCAACAAACAACAGTTTGTTTACTATTCAGTTATATAAATAGTAAACACTATTGGATGCCCACTACCACTCACAGGATGGGTATGGGGTCCACTGCCACCTACAGGATGGGTATGGGGCCCACTACCACTCACAGGATGGGTATGGGGTCCACTGCCACCTACAGGATGGGTATGGGGCCCACTACCACTCACAGGATGGGTATGGGCCCCACTACCACTCACAGGATGGGTATGGGGTCCACTACCACCCACAGCATGGGTATGGGGTCCACTAGCACCCATTGGATGGGTATGGGGTCCACTACCACCCACTGGATGGGTATGGGGTCCACTGCCACCCACAGGATGGGTATGGGACCCACTGCCACCTACAGGATGGGTATGGGGTCCACTACCACCCACAGGATGGGTATGGGACCCACTACCACCCACTGGATGGATATGGGGCCCACTACCACCCACAGGATGGGTATGGGGACCACTGCCACCCACAGGATGGGTATGGGACCCACTAGCACCCACTGGATGGGTATGGGGCCCACTACCACCCACAGGATGGGTATGGGGCCCACTACCACCCACAGGATGGGTATGGGGCCCACTACCACCCACAGGATGGGTATGGGGTCCACTACCACCCACAGGATGGGTATGGGGCCCCCTGCCACCCACAGGATGGGTATGGGGCCCCCTGCCACCCACAGGATGGGTATGGGGCCCCCCTGCCACCCACAGGATGGTATGGGGTCCACTACCACCCACAGGATGGGTATGGGGCCCACTGCCACCTACAGGATGGGTATGGGGTCCACTACCACCCACAGGATGGGTATGGGACCCACTACCACCCACTGGATGGGTATGGGGCCCACTACCACCCACAGGATGGGTATGGGGCCCCCTGCCACCCACAGGATGGGTATGGGGCCCCCTGCCACCCACAGGATGGGTATGGGGCCCCCTGCCACCCACAGGATGGGTATGGGGTCCACTACCACCCACAGGATGGGTATGGGGCCCCCTGCCACCCACAGGATGGGTATGGGGTCCACTACCACCCACAGGATGGGTATGGGGCCCCCTGCCACCCACAGGATGGGTATGGGGCCCACTACCACCCACAGGATGGGTATGGGGCCCCCTGCCACCCACAGGATGGGTATGGGGCCCCCTGCCACCCACAGGATGGGTATGGGGTCCACTACCACCCACAGGATGGGTATGGGGCCCCCTGCCACCCACAGGATGGGTATGCAAGGATTGATCTTTTAATCTGATATTTTATTTTGAACTGTTGACAGTTCGTATATATTACAATTTTTATGGCAACTCATCCGTAGGTGCCACAAACAAATTGAAAATGTCAAAACTAAACAAATTCAAAAGGTTAATCTAAACTAATTCAAAATGTTTTTGTTAATGTGTTTCAAATTTGACGACATGAAAATCTTATCTAACTGGTGATAAGGCATCATCTTGGACTCAATAAAGGAGGAAGAGTTTTCAGGGGAAAGCGCCAAGTCATTATGACTATATAGCACTTGAAAAGGGTAAGGATAAGGATTTGGGATGGGACGGGGGAAAGGAATGGTGCCCAACCACTTGTGGACGGTCGGGGATTGAACGCCGATCTGCATGAAGCGAGACCGTCGCTCTACCGTCCAGCCCAAGTAGTTAATTACCCATAATCACCTTAGGCCTGGTTGGATTGTTTAGGTACCTTGGAAGACACAAATTATACTCTCTATTTCTAAAGAGAAATAGAGAGAACTCTAGAAATAGAGAGAGAAATTATACTCTCTATTTCTAAAGAGAAATAGAGAGAACTGGTTCTCTATAGCCGGTTTTGTTGCACAGAATTATGTGCAACAAATATCTATGTCTATATGCAGGCGAAGAGTCACAATAACGTGGCTAAAGTATGTTGACCAGACCACACACTAGAAGGTGAAGGGACGACGACGTTTCGGTCCGTCCTGGACCATTCTCAAGTCGATTGTCGACTTGAGAATGGTCCAGGACGGACCGAAACTGTGTCTATGTATATCTTCTAACCTCAGCTGAACAGTGAAAAGATGCACAGTGATTTGCCAAGCATTTATGCAACCACTTTCGAAACCCGTGCATCTTTTCCCAATCATGGCGACTTTGTTGACATATATTGAATAATGAATTGATTCCGAAGCACTAGAAGGTTGTTATAACATTAATAACCTTGGGGGTTGTGAAGTTTCCAAGCTGGAAACAATGATTGAGGAAAGATGCATAGGTTTCGTAGCTGGACACCGTAACAGTTTGATGGATCCTGCTTCTCTTCACTAAATAAATAAGGAAAGAATTGATGATCTCATACGGTGAGTTCTTCACACACACAACTGTTATAACATTGAAATATTTCAACAGCACCACCGCTCCAAAAACTCCTGTAGAACACACGTTGAACACCGGAGAACATCCAGGATCATATGAACACCTGCAAAAACACCCGTAGAACACAATGCTGAACACAGGGCCTCACCAGAACGTTCCTCGGAGGAGAGTATGAACGCCCACCTGGGATGGGAACTAAGATATAAGTGAACGTGAAGCCTCAGAGTAGACCGGTTATATGTTCCCTCACACACACACACACACACACACACACACACACACACACACACACACACACACACACACACACACACACACACACACACACACACACACACACACACACACCTTCATTAACCTCTATGGCGTTTTATCGTTCGTTACGGTGTTCGTAGGGTATTGCGTTCATCTTCCGAGAACGTGAAGATGAGTTAAAGACAAAACACGAAACGAAGAGGGTTTGGAGACTTCAACGCCTGAGCGCCCTCACCTTGGCGCCAACTCATCCGTGGAAGGTGATTGGCTGGGTACCGTGACGTCAGCTCATCAGTGCAAGACGATTGGCTGAGAACCGTGACGTCAGCTCATCCGCGCAAGACGATTGGCTAGGAATCGTGACGTCAGCTCAAGATGACTGGGCGAAAACCGTGACGTATCTCCAAAGGACACAGTCACCTCTTGGAAGAAAGTGAAGGTTGTTATTGATGCAGTTGTGCGCTATTCTCACGGCCTTCAAGACATAACTACCCAACTATCTGCCCGAAACAAGCGCCCAAACACAGGTATCCAAAGGTATCTGCATTATGTCAAGACCGAATGTTACTAAAAAGGCATTTGTCTCTCCAATACGTAAGCGGTAAATATGAACGGGATAAATGGTGTGGCAATTCTGTGGGGATTTTTCCTTCCATTCAACACACCACCCTATCCTCTTCGATCCCCGGCATCCCTCTCCCCCAAGCCTATCTGACACGGCTGGCAACTACCTTAACTATCCACTATAAGATCTCAAGAATTGGATAGGCAGGATAGTGAGAGAGAAGTGGTGGATTGATAGATTATCATCTTGATATCACTGTGATGACTTGGGGATGGTTCTGGAATGTTACAGGGCTTGTAAAGCTGAATGGTTTAGGATGGCTGTTGGGTTGAAAAGACAGAGGGACCAGAAAGATGGTAAGCTTTCAGGTATCCCGGTATTGGATACCTGTCTAGGTATCATACCTGTCCAGGATGATACCAGAGGAAACTCTACCAGTGGATCACAGCCTGAGTAGTGGGAGTCTTAGAGCCGAGAGTCACCCTTATGAAAATGGTATGGGATCGAGTGCTGTTTAATATCTGTTTATTTTACGACTTAGTGCATAGTTAGGTGAAGGATGGGATAAGTAGGAGTGTGTAGGGGTGAGGTAGGAATGTGTAGGTTTAAGGTAGGAATGTGTAGGTTTAAGATAGGAATGTATAGGGGCGAAGTAGGAAAGATATGCGGTGGAATACCACGAGGAGGTATACCTGACAGTAATCAGAAAACTGAGGCATAGCAATTATGCCCGGTATATTAACAATGTTGTACAACATGGCTTTGTTTGTTCCAACTTTCTTGACATGAGAGAACTGGGTCGTATCTTACCATAAAGATGGCGGGTGTGAGAATTGCCTTATGTTTCCTTGGCTTATCTGTGCTTACAGCTTCCTTCTGTGATATCTTGATTCGC